TAGGCTTATTTTTCATTATTATTTTTTAAAAAATTGTTTAGTAAACATAGCCGTCATTTCGAACTCTAGATCAGTTTCTATCTCGAGGTTCTTAGCAGTCTTATGAGCACTAGTAAAGGCCACACTATCTTTTTGTTTTTTCTTCGAAATCAAATGGGCTTCATAAGTCTGTAGGTTTCCAAACAACTGATCAAGCTTGAGGTTCTCAACATCCTGAGCCTCCTCTATCACTGTCACTTTTGATTGGAACCTATCGAGTAAGGATCTCAATATTTTTCCAACCACTTTAGATTCAGGGATTTTTTCACCAAGTATGAAACAAGAATTCATGATGTCACTAAGTTTAGCATAAAAATCATCAAACGTCTCATCCTCGCACATAAAAAGGGTTTCAAAATAGGAGGTGAGACGTTGAAGTTTTGACCTTTTAACAGTAGTAGTACCCTTGTGAATAGTTTCAAGAATGTCCCAAGCCTCTTTTGCTACCTCACACGTACAAATACGACGAAACTCTTCAGGTGTGACGGAGCAAAAAAGAGAATTGAATGCTTTACTATTCCAACTCGAATTCTGATAATCAATTGTATCCCATTTATCAATTGGTTTGGGAATATCAACAAAATTGATGGTAACCATAGGTTCACTCCACCCATAGATAACAGAGTGCCAAACTTTCTCATCAATTGATTTTAAAAATGCCCTCATACGAGCTGTCCAATAAGAATAGTTTGTCCCATCAAGTAAAGGAGGTCTATGGGTCGAGTTACCTTCACGAATCGAATCCATTAACACGAATCACACAAAATCACACTCCTATAGTTTTTTATTTTGTTTTAAAAATGAGTGACTTGTTCTAATACCAATTGAAAAACCTAAATGATTCGTGATTCGAAACAGATTTAATTACAACAATCCCTAAACAAACAAAATTAACAATCTAAATCATCTAGCACGTACGAAAGTGATTTAGATTGTTATTTCACAATTAATAAATTGACATAAACGATTTTTTATGTGGAAAAAACCACAGTTGGAGCACCTCTAATTGTGATAAAAAAAACCACGGGTGAAATGCCACTAATCAATCCACTATGAAGAATGAAAATACACAAGATTACCAAACAATTTACCTAACACTCTGTAAAATTGTCTTCAACAACTTGTGCCTCTTTACCCAACGCCTTCGTCTCGAAATTGATTAGTCTAATGTTGAATCCATAACATCCACGACAACGAGCCGCTTCAAACTCCTTCAAAGCCTTCATGCTCGAATCTTCGGAATCCACTGAACAAGAACTCTTTGATATAAATGATCAACCAACCCTTTGATGTAAACAATTTTGATCATGAGACAAACTCAGCAAGACATCAAAGAAAATAAGCAAAAAACCTCCAGAGAGAAATCATAGCCTTCAAGAATATGCTCTGGAAGATCTAACCCTAAATTCTGCCCTTCGCGCAGCTTTATAGAGAACAGGGCTGCGAAGACTGCTCGAGCCATAGAATGGTCGCTCAAGCGGTGTGCTTCATATGCGCGAACTCCACTAGTCACTTCGCTTGAGCCACCAATAAGTTCGCTTGAGTGAACATTGAAACATGTCAAAACTTTTGCAGGCTGACTCAATTTCTGGGAGATAGAATTCTTCGCTCGAGCAACCAGTCCATTGCTCAAGCGGTCCAAGACAAAACTAAACACTGATTACAAATAGAGAAAGTGTTTGTTCGTGGAATTGACAACATAAAAGACCAAACAATCAGAAAAAATTACAACCAAGATACATAGATAGCCACCCAGCAATTACATATACTTCATTGGATTTGCAGTTGAATGGTTCATATTCAATAGTTATCAGGATCAACACTTCCCAACAAGGATTGGGTAGCAAGCCGAGGATCAACATCCCCTCCTCCATTTTCGTGATTTTTCTTAACGTCAAGTTCTTAAACTCCCATTTGGTAATATTTACGTTTATAATTTTTTGTTTATGTTTACAAAAATTTAAAAAACAAAAAGGGGAAACCTATTTGGTGTTTAATTGTTTTCTCCAAAAAATGGAGATTAACTAAATTTTGATTTTTTGTTTTTGTTTTTGTTTTTGTTTTTGTTTTTGTAAATATTTTTGGAATGTGTGATATATAAGTATTAAATAACAATATCGATGTGGATTAATACATACGGAATGTTTGTGATATTTGGTTATGACCTATTGTGGTGTTGGTTATGATTTGGTTATATATATTGTGGTGTTAGTTATGACTCGTTGTAACGTTGGCTATGATATTGCTTTGGTTAAGATCCAAAAGATCTTTGGTCATACCTTATGACTCATTTTTTATTTATTTAAATTATGACTGAAACGGATTCAGTTATAATCTTTACAGTAATTAACCCTCATAACTTACATCTGGTACACATCCTTCACCGTAGCATAACCCGTCTACAAATCATACCATGCAAATATATATATATTACAATAAAGTATAATGGTTTTTGAAAATGTCTATTTTTTATATTTAGTTAGAATGGTTGAGATCAATCCATCTATGAGATTACCGGTTGGATTTGCTTGACCAAAAATAAACTTCTTGCCCATAGAAACTTCAACACTTTCCTAGCATATTCATGTCTTTTTTTTTTCCCCTGTTCTTTTTATCTATTCTTTCTTCCTAACCATTTTCAATTCACTCACCATCTCTTTCCTTTTTCTTTTTTTTTCTCTGTATAAAAGGTAGGATTCCCTGTTTGTGTAAATTTGAATGAGTTGACTATAATAATTGATTGCCCTATATTTGTTTTTATGTTGTATTTTCACTCCTAATAGAAATTGCTTATTTTTCTCCTAGAATGTGTTCATGAGTTTGTAAATTTCTGACTATTTTCTTGTTGGACTTTCAGCTTTGGTGCACTTTTTCATTTCGCATAGTGGTGATGGTGTGGGAACCCATTCTTATCCCTTCCCTACCATCACATAAACCCCTGTCTCCCTTGCCATTGTTCGTAGCTTGGCCAAAAGCAGAAGTGATAGTGGATGAGAGATTATATATATATATATATTATATTGTTTTTAACTCTTTTCTTTTCTATTATTTTTTAAGCCTTTTGTTTAATTTTTTTTCCTAATTATTTTTCTTTTTCATTTTAGCATGGCGATGATGGTTGTAGATTCAACAGGTGGATCCAATGACGATGGCAATGGGATATCTATGTTATTGACTAAACGTTACTTTGACTATATAAGTTTGGAGTTCTCCTCTACCATTTTTTTATTTGACCATTTTTTTTTTAGCTCAATTCAAGAATTAAGGGAAGGTTATTTTTTTTTAATCAGTCCTAAAACTCAGTTTTGATCATTTGGTTATGTACAATATTTTTTAACTCATCTAAAGTAAATTGCGATTACATATAAATTGGGAATGAAATGGGAAGAGATAGGTCAATTGTATGAGAGTGATTGATTTTAAGTGGAGTCAAATTATGTTATGAGTGGCTTCATACATAAGTAATTCGCTAGTATATATAAGAAGAAGAAAGTTGTTATATAGGGTTATTCTCTAATTAATGGACAAAATTTGAAAGGTATTCCCAAATTGATCGTCAAAATTATAAAAATGAAAATGAAAATAGATGAGAACCAATAATGTGATGACACAAATATTTTTACATTATAAAAATTCATAAATTTGAGAAAAATAGATTGAGGTTTTCATCAACAAGGACTTTACAACATGTTTATATATATAATAGTATAGACATAGATATAGATATAGATATAGAATGTCTCATATATATAGGGAAATTCTATAATGTACACCCGCTTTTGGGATGTGCACCATATTCCTAGTTAGACGTTTATGATTTTTGGGTATGACTCATTGTATTGCAGGTTATGACTCATTGTAATGTTAGTTATGAGTTAGTTATAACTTCTCATGGTTTTATTTTGGTTATGATAGGAGAAGTCTTTTTGGTTATGCCTTAAGTGATGTTTGGTTATAACTCTTAGTTATGACTTGGTTGACTCATTGCGATGTTAGTTATGACTTATTGTGATTATGATTTCAGTTATGATAGAAAATGTTTTTGGTTAGGATTTACGTGGTGTTTGGTTTATGACCCATTTATTTATTTTTAATTATGACTAGAAAATGATTTAGTTGCGACATGTGTGATTTCAACACCACAAATATCATAATTTACATATGTACACACCCCAAAAAAGGGTCTCTATTATAGCATGACCAATATAAGATAGAGAAAAGAACATGATAAAGAAAAGAAAAGATTAAACATAAATATAAAAAGAGTAATGTTAGGCTTCATGAAAAAAATATCATGAAAAGTTTCATGAAGATTTTCCACCATCGGATATGTGATTGCATAACACATAATAAAATATCACAAACTAATCTAAGGGTGAAGAATTTTCATGAAGCTTTTCATGGTATTCTAGCCTTCATACCATGAAAAATTTCATGAAAATTCTCCGTCATTGAATATGTGATTGCATAACACACACAACATAACATAGAGAAAAGAATATGATAGAGAAAAGAAAAGATTAAACATAAATATAAAAAAGAACATACCTTTTGAAGTTGTATCATTACACTTTGACTGAAGGGTCACACCATGCGTTCCTAATAAACATTTTTAGCAAACAATGCTCCCTTACTCTTTTTTAATGATGATTAAGGTAGCCTTTTGTCGTCTCTCTATTGTGGAATCTGCCAGGAAAATTAAAGAAGAGCAAAAGAGCAATGGAAACAATTGGCTGGAAGTGCTGATTAGGAATGTTTCGAGTGACACATCAATATTAAAAAGGACCCAGATACGACGTTGGAAGTGCTTCTGGTGGGTCCTTTTTAATATTCCTGTGTCACTCAAAGCATTCCTAATTAGCACTTCCAGCCAATTGTTTCCATTTCTCTCTTGCTCTTCTTTAATTTTCCTGGCAGATTCCACAATGGAGGGATGACAAAGGCTACCTTAATCGTTTGTAGAGTGAGTATATCCCCCAAACTAGATGGTATTTCCTCGAGATTGTCACACGATTTCAACAATAAGTGATGATGACTTGGAAAGTGACTAGAGCAGGTGATCCATCGTCCAACATTGAGGTACTTCAGTTTCAAGAATTTGAGTTGAGGAAAACCCCATCAGTTGTTGCCCATTGCGATCCCCAGTAAGCCTCACTTTCTAATTTGAGAAGCTCAAGGTTGGGTAACAGCATCCCAAGGATTGATATCTCCTTCCACTTTGTATCTGTATTTCTGAAGGTTAGCCTCTTAACATTTGCAGGAAACTTAACCCCTCGGAAAGTGGTTGGTTGACTGCAAAAATTGTTGTATAGCTTCAAAGTCTCAAGGTGTCTAAGAAAGTCTAGATTATGAAACATCCAATGCCCTAAATATGATATCATAGGCCCACAAAATCCTAGCTTTGTCAGATAAGGAGTCCTTGCCAATAAATCTTGAACAGCTCCACAAGGATTTAAGTTTGTGATGGTTCGTAAGTTTTCTAATATAGAGGGATAGCTATGATCCATTGCAGAACTTAAAGACACAGAATATTTCTTTCCTTTAGTATAAAGATGCCTTAACTTTGGAATCTTCCACACATTATATGATAGAGTAACCTCAGACACAGATGCAAAAAGAATAAGGGTTTCTAGGTTTGAGAGATTGGATATTGACAGCGGTAATTGAACTGAACCCCCCACCGTAATTGCCAAATACCTAAAGACACAGAATATTTCTCTCATTTAGTATAAAGATGCCTTAACTTTGGAATCCTCCACACATTATATGATAGAGTAACCTCAGACACAGATGCAAAAAGAATAAGGGTTTCTAGGTTTGAGAGATTGGATATTGACAACGGTAATTGAACTGAACCCCCCACCGTAATTGCCAAATACCTCAAATTAACAAGTTCTATTAATTTTCTTGAAAATAAGCCATAGACACACCATAAGTCCAATACTCTAAGAAGTTTGAAGGTTTCACAAATAAACAGCAAACCATTTAACACATTGTTCAAATATTTAGACCCATCTAAAGCATTAAAGTGCAAGATTGACTGAACAACTACTGGGGAATAAGAGCCAATGGAAACATGGTCAAATTCTTCAAAGTCATAATTGATGCAAAGGTGACATTGAATATTTGTTCTGTAATTGCATGAAGAATAAGGATAAACGAGTTTGTTATTGTGAGTCTGCTGTAGGAAATTAGTTTCCCTAGCTTTCTTCAAGCATAAATCACGCAAAAGATCATGCATACGACATTCTTTAATTCGACCATCAAACCTTTTTCGAGCAACAATTACCAGATTTCTCTGAATTAGATCCATTAAGTAATCCTCTGCTACTTCCTCCAAGCTTCTCTGCCCAATTTTTTGTATAAACCCCTCAGCTATCCATAACCAGATTAATCTCTACACCAAGATTTTTTGATCTTCTGGAAATACTCCTAAATAAAGGAAGCATGGTTTCAAGTGACGAGGCAAGTGATTGTAACTCAGTGCTAGTGTGTCCAAGCACTGGTTTGGATCACTAACAATGTACGAGCTAACAATTTGGGAAACTTGTTTCCACCACTCTTTTTATAGCGATCCCGGTTTCCTTTTTTTTTTTTTTTTTTTTTGGGTTTTTTTTTTTTTTTTTTTTTTTTTTTTTTTTTTTTTTTTTTTTTTTTTTTTTTTTTTTTTTTTTTGTATTTGAGTCTTGGGTTGTGTTGGGCAGGTTTGAAACAGGTTGGTTGGACTTAGAAACCAAGAGTAGTTGCCCAGGTTTTGGCCTTTACGCTCGAGCGGGGATTTTGACGCTCAAGCGGGCCCTTCGTTGTTGTTTGTCCGCTCGATCGGGAGTTTTGACGCTCGAGCGTATTTTTCCATCTTCCAGTATCTCTTCGTCAGTGTTGTACGCTCGAGCGGGAGTTTTGACGCTCGAGCGGCATGTTGTGTGTGACGCTCGAGCGGGAGAGTTGACGCTCGAGCGGAGATCTGGTTCAGTAAAACGTTTTGGAAGTGTGTATCCGCCGCTCGAGCGGGACTGTTGACGCTCGAGCGGGAGTCTGTGAGTGACGCTCGAGCGGGGTTTTTGACGCTCGAGTGGGGCGACTTTTATTTAAATCCGAGATCCGACTTTTGGATCACTTTTTCAACTCCTTTTCTCTCTCTTACTTTTCCAAACCTCCATTTGAGAGCTTCTCTCACTAGAACCTCAACTTCTCTCTAGGTATTGACCTAGCTAGGGTGTTTTCCTCACCTTTGGTCTTTACAAAAGTTGGGTTGATCATCGAGGGCTTTACTTTGATCCAAAAATTTTGAGTTTTGGAGCACGTTGAGTTTCGTCATCTTCTTCCCTTAAGCTCCGAATTTGAGGTAGGGATTCCTACTCACTCTTATGGTCTTTGACATAGATTTTTAGCTATTTTGATAAAGTATTGAAGTTGGGTAATTTTGGGACTTAGGGTTTCAAAATGTTAAAGGAGAGTTTTTATTATTTTGATTCTAAAATGAGTAATTTGGGTTTCAAAATAATGGTTTGGTTGTTGGTTGATGAAATATGGACCATTGGGTCATTATTGGAAAAATGGGGAAGAATGCCCTAATTTGTATATAAATTAATTGGTATAATTGATTTGGAAAGTTATGGATTTATGAAATTGAGTTGTAAATAATGAAATTGGTTCATTATGTGATGAAATGGTGGAGTTGGATTTATTAATCGCCCACTCTTGAAAACATTGATATTTTATCTGTTGAAGCTTTTATTATCTGTTTAGAAATAATTGCTTGGGCTACCGGTGGAGGGTAGTTTTGATTGTTGTAGACAATGCATGATGATTAGGCAAACTAAAACTAATCAATTGGCTATGTCATAGAGTATGACGGTTGATAGAATACATTAACGTTATGTATTGATTGATTGTGTATATGACCTTTGTGTATATACGTTGTGTGTGTGTGTGTGGGAGGAGATAGGGGATGTACTCCACGGTTTAGGGGAAGATAGAGGATGGACCTCTAAACCGGATGTTGTTCGGGAGGAGATAGGGGATGGACTCCACTGATACAGCTCATATGCTTGTCAGATAATGTGATGATACAGCTCATATGCTTATCTATAGGAGTGTTGATACAGCTCATATGCTTATCTTTGGAAGTGTTGATATAGCTAATATGCTTATCTGTTGAAATGTGGATACAGCTTGTATGCTTATCTGTTGAGATGTTGATACAACTAATATGTTTATCTATTGTAAAAACAGGAAACATTTAATATAAGTTATTGTCTCATACAAGTGGGTGGCCAGGTTTTGAGCCGTTGGTGTAAATTGTGAAATTGTTATGTCATGAAATATGAAATGGAAATGGATTATGAACTAATTGGTGGAAATTGAACATTTGTCAATTGCTAATGTCTTAGTTACTGCTCATACTGTGTTTAGCATATCTCTACTGGGCGTTGGCTCACCCTATATGGGACATTATTTTCAGGTACAGGTAGTATGCCACCTCCAAGGACATAGCTTGGATGATGATGAGAGTTGAAGACTCTTTTTGGTTGTTTTATTTGTATTACATGTATTGCAAGCCAAGGGCTTATTTTGTATAGAGTTAGTACTCTTCTTTTGTGTAACCAAGTGTTAACTTGGAAAGCTGTAAGCCTTTAGGGCATTTGCTTTTGTTGTTAACATGTAATACCGTTGTAAAGTTTATTCTGATGAAATGAAATGGTTGGTTTCTTTTATATTAATGTATATCTAAAGTGGTGAATTTATGTATTATTTTGGGGGCGTCACAACTTGGTATCAGAGCGTACCGGGTTCGAATACTTTGGGTACGTGGGAAGTGATTAGTATCACAATGGGTTTGTCTCGCTTGATAGAAACTTAGTAGTAGTGTCATATGCTATGTGTTTAAATTGATAACATGTTTATGTGACTATGTGGGTATGGAACGTAGTTTCTAGGATGTTGATTGGATCCTTGGGTTTCTGGGAGTCTCGTTGGAAAGGCACTTGATCAATGCTGTTTCTAATCGGAACTCTAGTAACGCCTTGGGACTATCATTATCCGAAGATGAAATTCATAATTGCTTACGTGATTATGTGCTTACGTGGAGTGAATAACAGTTGTCCATGCATTAGGACGCGGGTGTATTAGCTTCGGCACATTTGTGAATGTGCTAATAGTCTTGGTTACCTTTATTAGGATGTCAGGACGAGGGCGTGGTAGGCGTGGCAGGCATGGTAGGCGGGAAATGCCTTTACCGGACGACATTCCGGCAGTGTAGGAGGGAGTTGGTCAGGCCAACGTGGCTGAGCCAACGGGTCAGCAGGCTATGGGTGCCTTGGCCCGAGAGATAGCGGGAGCTTTGGGTATTCTCAGAGCTGAGAATCAAGTTACTGAGGCAGGACCTTCTTTCTTGGAGAGGGAGTTCTTCCGGTCTAACCCGGACGAATTTGTCGGGGTCCCGAAAGAACCACTTAAGGCTGACGAGTGGTTGGAACAGATGGAGAAGACGTTCGAGATGCTTGGCATCGAGGACGGTGCTTTAAAGGTGACCTTGGCATCCTTCCAACTGAAGGGAGATGCGGGTCAGTGGTGGAAGTACGAGAAGGGTCGTGTTGGTGGTGTGTGGGAGGCTTTTGTGAACACCTTCCAGGAGAAGTTTTTGTCTTCAGCTGCTAGGGAGAAGCTGAGGGAGCAATTTTGCCAGCTTAAACAGCAGGGCTTGTTAGTGGCCGAGTTTGAGGTTACTTTTACCAGTCTGTCCAGGTTTGCACCTGAACTTGTGGCGTCCGAGGAACGCCGTTGCTTTGAGTTTGAGCAGAAGCTGAGGCGTGGGCTCAAGTTGAGGATTGGAGGGTCCTTTATCTGGGAGTATAGACGTCTGGTTGATGCTGCAGCTCACATGGAGCTCATGATGCAGGAGGAGGATGAAGGGCAGAGAGGCTCCAAGAGGAGCCAGGATGGTCAGGGTGATGGCAGGAGACAGAGGGGTTCTAACCCTCAGCAGTCTCAGAGTGGTTTGGCTAGATCGACCTTCCCGGTGCCGAGTATGGGTTCTGGCAGGGGTAATCAGGGAGGCTTGACTGGTTTTGCATGTGACCAGCTGGGTCACAAGTCTTCAGTTTGCCCGCAGAAAGGAGGGGGTCAGCGAGTTGCTTCTTCTTTAGCTAGACCTCAGGGCCAGAGTCAGGGCAGGGGCCAGCCTTTGTCTTGCTATCAGTGTGGTCAGCCTGGGCACCTGAAGAGGTATTGCCCGCAGTTGGGTACCACATCGGGAGCGTCTGGTTCTAGGCAGACGCAGAGTTATCAGCCAACTCAGTCTGTGCAGGCCTCGAGGGCCAATCCAGGAGCTTCGTCTTCCCGGTCAGTGCAACAGTCTTTTGCTCCTAGAGGTGAGCAGGTGGATCAGGGGCCTACAGGGCGCGCGTATGCTGTTACCGTGTAGGACCTAGTACCGGCTCCGTCAGTAGTGAGAGGTACCTTTCTGTTTTGCAACTCGGTTGCTACTGTATTGATCGATATGGGTGTGTCTCATTCTTTTGTATCTGCTGCATTTGCATCTGTGTTGGAGTTGGAGTTGGCACTATTAGCATCTCCTATTTGTGTAGTATCACCTGTTGGGGGTGAATTGATTTTGAAACACGGATGTAGAGGTTGTGATATAGAGGTCGCCAACAGTAGGCTTCCTTTTCCCTTTGTTGTTATGCCCATGAAGGGCTTTGATGTTATTTTGGGTATGGACTGGTTATCGTCATACCGGGCAGTTATTGATTGCTATTGCCAGAAGGTCACAGTTTGTACCTTGAGCGGGGAGTGTTTCCATTTCTTGGGGGATCAGGTTGGTAGTGTGTTGCCACCGATGTATGATCCGCGAGGGCGGAGTGAGCTTAGTGGTCTACTTTCCAACTTCGTGAGTGGTGAGTGTGATGAGACCCAGATTGTGTTACCGAGGGTGGTTTGTGAGTATCCGGATGTCTTTCCTGAGGATCTCGTTAGTTTGCCACCTCACCGAGAGATAGAGTTCTCTATTGATTTAGTGCCCGGCACGTCTGTATCTGGCAAAGCAGTCCATGTTTGGCACTACTTTTTCAAAAATTTGTTTCTCAAAACAATTTGCCAGATTTGGACTCTTTGGTTCAGATTAAGAACTGCGACAAACAAAAATCGCGAGTCCGACCTGTAGCAGCGAAGGTCCCCTCGCGGGCTTGCTACAGTGGTCTACTTGCCAACTTCGTGAGTGGTGAGTGTGATGAGACCCAGATTATGTTACCGAGGGTGGTTTGTGAGTATCCGGATGTCTTTCCTGAGGATATCGTTAGTTTGCCACCTCACCGAGAGATAGAGTTCTCTATTGATTTAGTGCCCGGCACGACGCCGATTTCTATGGCACCTTATCATTTTGCTCCAACCGAGTTGAGTGAATTGAAGATTCAGCTTCAAGAGTTGTTAGACAAGGGTTTTGTTCGCCCCAGTGTTTCACCGTGGGGAGCACCGGCCCTCTTTGCTAAAAAGAAAGATGGTGCCTTGAGATTGTGTATCGATTACCAGAAGTTGAA